GAAGGGGTATAGTAAAATATAACGTGTATTTGTTTTTAACCTGTATTTAAAAAAAAACACTTAAAAAAATTCCAAAAATTTCGGAATTTTTTAGGTGCTAAAATACGTATTATCACTTCACTCAATAAGTTCGTAGAATAACTAAGAAAAACTCATTTTTTTGTTAAAATTCTTTTTTCTTATTCAATATAGTTTTCTTCGAAAACGATATACCAATTATAGCGACCTTCGAACTTTTCGAAACCATTTTTGTAGTACGATTTGTACTTAGCACAAAATTCGGCCATCGTCTCATAATTTGGCAAAAATTTCTTCAGAGCGAGCATCCTTTTGAGATCTGAGAACTGGATATGGTCGCTAGGGAATCTAGAGAATATAGTGAGTGGAAAAGCGATTCGGAGCCTAATTCATGTTTTTTTGGCCACTGTTAGTACGAATTTGTGACTTGGTGAGTTATCCTGATGGAGCAGCACGGTTTTCTTTCTCAAATGGGGTATTTTTACGATTTTGATCTTCAAATGTTTCAATAACGTTATACAATAGCCACTGTTGATGGTCCAGCCTTTCGCAAGATAGTTGAAGAAGATCATTAATTGTGAATCCCAAAAAAGCTGATGCCGTAACCTTACCAGCTGATTGTTTGCATTTTTTTGGTCATCGTGTCTAGTCCACTCGGCTAGCTGTCTATTTGACTCCGGAATATAGTGTTGAAGCCAGGTCATATCCATGGTGACATATTGATGCAAAAACTCGATTAAACAGCTCCAAATACTCTTACGAAACATCAACACGTAATACTTTTGGTCAAATGTGAGTTTGTGCGGCACTCATTTAGCACAGAGGTTTTTCATATTCAAATATTTGTGAACGATATGTCCAACAGGTTCCATTCATATCTGAAGGGTGTCAGCTATATCAGACTTTTTACTTTTCGGTTTTCCAAAACGTTTCGGTAGACTTTTTGGTATTTTCCAGTGTAACCACCTCTATTGACCTTCCAGAACGTTCAGCATCGTCAATGTCTGTATGGAATAAAATCAGCAAACGACTTCTCCACCATTCGTCTCGATTTGGGACAGTCCAGATAACACTTATCAAGCGATACTTTTGCAGCAATGGTATTGTTACCCATCAAAAAGCAATGATGAATCCCACGAAATTGCTTTGAATTCAGGTTTCGAAAAAATCTAAAGTAGCGTCACTTGAACCTCCGTAACTTGTAAACTAATCGTCGGATTGTCATGAAATTTGGACATATATCTTCCTAAAGTTGTTGCCTCCTACAAATCTTATGGATTATTACATAGCTACATCATCTATGTGTTATCCTACGGACTTATTGAGTGACGTTATATGTTCGTTAGTGGAGTGAGGGCAATTCTAAATAACACCACGTATCACTAATCGGAAGGGAGGGTCAAAAATCCCTAAAAATCCAGTACGTGATTAATGGACGGTCATCCCCATAAATACTCTAATTCATAACAAGTTAATTCCATAAATAATATATTTTTTAGCGATTTTTTCCACGATGGATATCAGTTGCCGGTAGACCACCTACACTTATCGCAAAACCAAATCCTTCCTGCGATACAGAACAACTTGGAAATCACGTCCTGACCGTATTTTCGAAAATGTACAATCTAGCTGGATATTTTCGGGAATGTCTCGAAAAGTCTGCAGTAAGTTGATAGTAGATCGAAATATCGAAATTATATGATATATTGATCAAGTAAATCAAGTTTTTATACACATCGGGACATTCGTGCAACTAACTTTTCTTTTTCAAGTAAAATGTTATTTACACCTAGTGTTATGATTGGTATGTATCAGTGTTTACTTTATAACAAACAAACATTTTTTTGATAGAATTAGATAAATAATTACTTACATAGTGGTTTTTCTAAAGTAAAAGTTTTAATACTTTATTCATTATAATTAAATTTTATATCAAAATAATTTACAGTATAACGCCATTAAACAATATAAAAATTTCGAACTATTATACAGTAAATAGTGATTCAAGAAATATCCTAGAAATTCAATTAATAGCAAACACCCAATTTTACTATAAAATACTTAGAAATTTATTTATCCATTATCCAGGAAGAATTAAGAGACGCAATTAGTACCGTATCAGAAAAATGTTCTTCATTTTTGCCAGAAATAGTATTGATAGAATTTTTATTGGATCATGACGATATTCCTGAACTGAGAGAGCATGCAGGGCTCTATAAAATAATAGATTTTCCGAAGTCTTTCGAAGGTAATAATTTTTCTCTTGGATTTTCTTCGCATATAAATTATATGTAATTATTATTACAGAATCTGTGTGGCCTATTCCAACTGACTTTGTGCCATATAATGTATTTGAAGGACAATGAAATAAAAAATCAACAAAGTGAAGAGGTGGTAAAAGTCTCGATTCTGCAAGCATTAATTCTTAAATAAAATTTCTATTAAGTATCATTATTTTATATTATTTAAAGTTCCAAATTTAATTAAATATTTTTGATTCCACCAATTATTTTTAACTGTAGTTGTTAGTGGAGTAGCAATTTTCCTTGGCAAGTTGCATGGACTTATAATAACCTTAATAAAATTCAGAATTAGCTATTTAGATACAATTTTCAACTGTTTATTTAGAAAATAAATTTTTAAGAGTTAATCGAAGTTATTTTCAAAATTGATGTTTTTCAAATAGGGATATAATTATTGTACTGCACAAACACGCCCTTGTATGCCTCAAAAAGCGCGGCTCATTATTAGAAACGCTAATGATTTTTTAGATAATAAAAAAATCACCACAATTAAAAAAGAAACCCCTGTCCGTGTACAAACTGATATCTTGCTATTGGTTTCTAAATTTTCAATCTTGCACTTTTCTGCTAAATTTAAAGAAACGGCTCGGCCGATAGTCTCGCAAACATAATCACGCGATTTTTTTTTATCGAGTTTCATCAGGTTTTTGAAAACCGCTTACATAAACACATGCACACATACTGGTTGCAATTTGTTCTCAAATCATTCAAAATTAATTTGAATTGATTTGAACTAAGAAAACAAAATTAACAAGTCCGCAAAAACTAACTTCTTCGAAGTTAATAACAAAGTGTCTCTTATATTAGGTTTATTGAATATTCTTACATTCTTATTTTTATTCTGTTTAATATCTTACACTAAAACTTCAATCTCTCTGTTTAACTGTACACTTAAATAACAAGAAATAAACTAAATTATATAAACTGAGTAAGCCCGATAAATTAATTCTCTATATATATTTTTTAATATTTCCTTATTGAAGACATACTGTATCTGTCACCATATGTGTTGGAACTTCCCATAATGGAATTTGGTGAAACACCAGGTGGATATAACGGTGCACGCGACCATCTGAAACAAAAAGTATGACTAGGATTGTGTTTATTGTACACTTTTATGGTCCACTAGCATTTACTTTGCTCTAATTATTTTATATGAATAATTTATCAAAACATGCAAACAATACACTAAAATTATATGAAAAACCTCCCAAAAAACAAACAAATAAATTCTACTTACTTCTAAAAAAATATTGCTACAATAAATTAGTTTTGTGTATGATAAAATAAGTTTGTTTAAATGATTCGTTACGCAATTGGAAGTTTTAAATAGGATTTAAGGGTATTAAAATGCAGTATTAATATAGCATTAAGGGCAGCAAAAAATATCTGGCAAATATTAGATTCAGAGATTAGGAAAAGACAAACTGCTAATATCATGTTGAAATGGACCACTAAGTTTCAAATTATATATAATAGTTTAAATACATGAAGGCTATATACTTCAAGTAATTTTTCTAAGAAATACTAAACCCCGCGTTAGAATTATCTTATAAAATACTTTATTCAATTAAATTTGAAAAATAATGTATCGACCACTGAATATTTAAATTTGAACAATTTATCACAGAAACTATTGTTGAAAATGATTAGAATTCATGCAAATTCTTGTGTATTCATGTGATGTGCAAATAATGCTGTATGATAAAATCTTAACCTTCCGCTAGTCCGCATGGGTAAAACTTAATTTTTAACGAATAGGATCGTATATGTGGATATTTATTTAAAAAACGGATATAAGTGATTATCTATTTTTGATCTACATCATTTTTAAGGCAATCTGAACATCTAAAAGAATAATATTCAGAATTTTTTTTAAGACAATGCATTGGGAATGAATGACGGTAAAGTTTATTATTCGTGCAGACTAAGAGTCCGTGTGCATGTAGCGGAAGGTCAATATTGAATCTTATCGCCTTTGTGGAATAAAATTACATTTACTTTAACATCAACATATATGTTTCCCTCTATGTGTACTACATTTTGCGTAATAAAAGCTCGCAAAATCAAACTGTATTAGTATATTAAATAACATTGCAACTAAGACAAAAATATTAAGGTATGTTTATACACATATATACAAAGTATGTATACACACATACAAAGTACCTGTTAGTTCTTTGTTCTTTTTACTTGAATGATTGAAATAGAATTGTGCATAAAAATCAAATTTAATGAATTTTATTTACTATGTTCATTAATTCACAATACATTTCATTAATTTGAAAATATCGAACATAATAAATGGAACAAGCTTTTAACAAGTTTGAAGACATTGGGAGATATATAAGCAGGTGTATCAATGTAGGATGAATGAATGTCATAGCATGTAAAATGTACTGTTTAAGAACTTCCATTAATATCCATAAATTCTACAACTTATGAAATGAGAGTTTATAGCAGAATGTGATGTTATCAGCAGCAATATCACAAAAAAATGTATAAGATATCTCCCAAAAACGCACTGAAGTTAGATGAAACAACATAATATAAACATCAAAAGATTATTAAGACATGTATAACAATATTATAGTTCACCAAAGAAAACAGAGTTTGAATTTAAATAAGCATGTATCTCAGATTTAAAATACAATTAATTATACTCACATAGAACACAAAATTCATTAAAAATAAACTACAACTTAATAATAACTACTTTTCTGGTATGACGACACTTGTCTCTGAACATTGTTATTTCGTGCCTGGGGCATCGTCTTACTGAGATAGTCCCTGGTGAAGGTATTAACAGTTACATTACCCTTGCCAGCCATACCGCTGACCGGATGGCCTTGTTTGTAAATGCTGACATATCTCTCTTCATACCTGTCATTTGAGGATGAATTGTCCACTTGGCGCCATGTAGATGATTGATTTTGGGATGAAGGTTTTGATCGAGAATCATTTGCCCATGGATTATTTGTAACCATATTCTGACCAGAGCCCATGCCTGACCCCGAAGAGCTCATCCCACCACTGCCATAAGGCTTTGAAGAAGATGATCCACCCCCAGAGTGCCATGATGAATTGGGTCGATCACTATAACGCCCATTATCTACACAAGTAAATTATTTCGGTAATTAATTACTTAATTCTATATTTGGTAAAACTGACTTTAGTCAGATTGGCATATTTGCTAGGAATATTGCATATTCACTCTGTACCTTTCATACTACTATCAACATATCGGCGTTCTCTGCTATTGCCGCGAACTGCCATTTTTCCTCCTGAAGAAGATCTGTGATCAGGAGTCTCTACAGGTCTTCGGCCTGCATCTCTGTCCCCTCCACCACCCCTGTAAGACATGCCTGATCCGCGATCGGAAGGTCTATCGGCTGAACGATCGGCATAACGACTACAAGTAAAAAGTATTCATGAATAGTTTTATATGGCACCTCAATTATATGTGCTCTAACTGATGGTGAGTTAAACTCGATTCAAGAAAGTATATTATACACTGTAACCAGTGCTCAAAAGAGCAATTTCATCTTCACATCTAATTTTTCATCTTTATTGCCAAGTAAAGATATCTTTGCTCCATATGAAGAAGTTAAAAAGAAAGGAAAGAGTAGTTAGAAAGAAAATTAAAAAGGAAGAGTTCGAAATTATAAAGTATTACTTAAAATTGCACTATATTAATTTTAATTACCTAGAATCCTTTGAACGTGATGATTGCATAGGTCCACCAGAACCTGAATCTTGTCTTGAATTTATATCAGAGTTATCCCTGCCACGATCATCATAATTTTGGCCTGGATATTTCATAAGATTTCCTTGATGAGATGATGAATGACCTGAAACAGTTTTATCTACAAAATATATGAAACAATAAAATGATAACAGTCAAAAGTTTTAAAATGTTGAATGATTAGTACAAAAGTTAAAACTAACCAAAGACCATACCCCAAGATGCAAAAAATCAAAATAATATATGAACAGTCAAGAAAATGAAATTATGTATTATTATACTATAAATATGAAAAAAATTTTGTGAAAAACATTTCATGAGTTTTAGAGAATGATTGCAAAAAAAAATAGTGACCTGAAAATAGTGATATTTAAAATAAATTAAAGATTTTCAATATACATGCAATATAAATATGAAACTAAAATTTTTAGTTTTTTTGATAGCAAATTAAAACATATAAAATCAATATGAAAAAGAAGCATGATGCATGATTATTACCGGACTTACTGGGATGCATCATATGTCCACCACTTCCACTAGAGTGCCTGGGCATTATATCAAAGTCAGAGCCGCGTTTAAAATCACCGCCAGCGCCCCGAGCATCGTTCTTTCGTATGTCATCGCGCTTTCCGCCGTAGTCTCGCTTTTTAGATGACATTAAATCGCTAGATTCTCCGTAATTTCCTGCCCCTGATCTACTTTGTCCCGGGCCCCCAACATTGGTGGACACTTGATCAAATCGCGGTGGTGGTGGTGGTTCCATTCTGCGCTCGCCCAAAGTTGGACGCTTTCGATCGTCGTGACCGGGAGGGTATGGATCACGACGGTCTAATGCTGATCGTTTAGCGGCCATTCGAGCCTCTTCTATCCTGCAAAATAAGTATTACAGATATTTGTATTACAATGATATTTTCATTAATACTTTTGCAGAAAATCTAAGAAGTTGTTTGAAGTAAAACTTCTTTAGGCGCGACTAGGGTGTAAACGCGTACAAACACTAGCAGTCAATGAATGTATGTTAATTTTGATTACATGAAATTCTTCAAACACAATTACATGATGAGTGAAGTTGCAAAAACAATATTTGTTTAAGCGTTGTTTAACATAATCCACTGTGTGAACGAATATAATAAAATTTATTAATCAGCAATTACTTAAATAAAGTAAGGTTCATTTCTAAATGCTAATTACAATCTCAAACCGATCATGTCATATTTGAAGTATGACTTTAATTACATTATTGTTTTTAAGTATTATACATATTTCAATGCTATTATAATTTATGATTTATCATTATATAAATGTGTATAGTGGTTGACACTAATAAATGTGTACATCATGAGTGTTACCATATTACTAATAAACATTATTCAAAATTGTTATATGATGTATTTATTTTTACTTAAATACTAGCAAATAAGTTTTACTTCAATCGCGTGTGAACCTTACGCGCACTCTTTTTTTTATATATCTGATATAATACAGATAATTTAATTGTATTTGCAAACATAGCGACTATTTTCATTAAATTTTCGTCATCGAATCTAGCCCGTGCGGTCATATAATTATTAGCATCTAGAAAAATGAAAAACTGCCTAAACTATGGACTAAGTGTTTAGATAATCTGTTCTTAGTACTTATCTAAATTACATGTCTGAACATGCCCTAGTTTAAAATATCTGTTTTATTTATCTGTGTTCATATAATCTGTTGATTATATTTTTATTACAATATGATTTTTTTGCCCTAGAACAAAAATCCAGAACAAAACAGAGGAGAAAAATAATTACTCCAGAAATAATTTGGAGAATAAAATTCTTAATACAGAAATCTATATGGCATACTTGTTGCCTTCATTCGAGGCATCCTCAATATGGGCACAACATACTTACTAAATATGCAAGAACAAATTTTGCTAATGTTCTCAATAGAAAAATATTTAACCAAAAAATTTTGATTGGACATTTAAAGTAATTGACCCTTAGAGGAAAGACTGAAACTCAAAGAGATTAATAATTTTAGAGTAGTTTTATACCCGACAAAGGCATTGAGTGCAGTACCAGTTGCTAAAAAGGAACAAAAATATGTACATAAGGGATTCTGAATTAAGGTTTACAATATTCTTCAACAAAACGAGATTTGTAAGAGGAGGCAAGCAACGATATAATTAATCTAAATTTGTAATAAATTTAGACAAATACAAGGGCAGTGTTGATCACGCTAATTAATATGCCACCAGTTACTTGCAAAATTACCCAAAGTGCTAGCGATTTTTTTTAATACTTTCAAATGCATTCACATGTACATTTTATATGCAAAGGGTGAAAAAAGCTATTGCCGTATGTAAAGTTTGTGAAACGATTATTATACGAATTCCGAGATCGTCCAGACTTTCAAAAATTCAAATTTTCGCACAATTCGTGATTTCATAATGTAAAATTTTCATTTCTTTAGCTAAATCTGTTAATTATTATATGTATTAAATAATTCTGTAAAAAAAACTAATTTATTGCAACTTTATCATTTTGTTGATGCAAAGGGTTAACTTCTCAAACATGAACATAATTCAAAAAATGCATGATATAAAAAAATGCAAAATAAATAATTTAAATTCAATTGGCATCATAAATAAAAATCAATAAGGCATCTGATACGGAAGCTTTGCTGAGTTACTGTCAGGTTGACAACTATGTAAGTGTGGATATTTCTCTATCAATGACGTTTTTTTTTCTTAGGAAAATCAATAACACTTTTTTCATTGTACTAAATATAAATATATTTCTTTCTGAAGTGAATTGTCTATTTTAATCACTTTTTGTCATCTTTCAAGCAGCATTATTGCCTCATTTCATAAAACTTGTGGATTTTATTAGCAAAAAACTGAATCAAATACAATTTGAAACCATCATTATTACTGATCTAGTTTTAAATTCAAGGAATTTGGTTAAGACCGGAACCGAAAGTTATCAAATGGTGTAAGATCAGGACTATATGGTAGATATGGCAAAACATTTCAACCAAGCTCCAATAAATTTTGTCGAGTGGCCAAAGATATTTGATGTCAATAATTGAATAAATCACCGTTACAATATGTTGATTTAGGCTGCTTTTTTCAGTTTCATATTTTATTTCCTAAGTTGTTCGATGTAGATATAAGAAATCATTATTTGGTTATTGATAACAGTTCAAAGTAGACAATTCCTTTTTGATGAAAAAATCACCTGAACGAAATTTGGCAAACTAATTTTGACACTGACGTTTTCTTAAAATGCTTAGTCACCATAAACAGGCATAACTTCTTGTGAGTGTAAGATGTCTTTTTTATCTTTGCAAAACTTAAAACTTTTATATTTGATTTTCCAATAAATGCCAAACAAAAACTACCAATTTGATCAAAAAAATCTTTTTCACAGATTGACAGCTGAATTGTACTATCGAATAACAAAAAGTATTTTATATTTGCATTATTTTAAGGGGTTACATGGGTTTCACGGTTTCAAAAATTTATAGTCTTATTAAGTTCAATAACATCTCTACCGACTAATAGTTGTGAAGATGCAGGCATGAAAAGGTGGACGCTCAAGGTCCACCTTTATTGTCTCTTAACAAAACTATGTTTTCAAAGACGGTTGTCAAGATTTCTGGCAAACTGCTCAACTGATCTTGATGAAATTTTACACAGGTCTTTGAGATATCATTTATAAAGTCTTGAACAAAGAATTGTTTTTTTAATTACAACTATTTAAAAAAACAAACAAAAATCGAGAAATTTTAATTTTATAAAAACGTCTGCTGCCAAAAATCCTATTTTCATTTTTTGTCAGTTCAGTTCATTGTCTTTACTAAAACACGTATTTTTTATTTTTATTTGAAATGATCCTGAAAGAAGTTCTGCTGACAACGCGGAGACAACTTTTTTCCGAAGGACTGCCGGAAATGGCGACGTAATGACCTCCATTTTGATATTTTTTTTGAAAATTTTACAAAATGTTTATTAAATATGTATTTACAAAAAAAAACTAGTGGGGTGGGTGGCATCGTGCCTTAAGGCAAATTGCTGGAACTTCCCGTACCGTAACGAAATGTTCGAGGATTACTGAATGTTTTCAAATAGATTATTATAAATATTGTAACATTGTCTAACATTTATAAATATTATATAAACTGAATTGCAGAGTTGAAATTTGTAAAGTATATTAGAACTACAGTCAGAATTAAAAATAAATATTTTCGATATACAAAAAACTAAAAATGGGACAAATTTTTTTTTTCCAAAATCGATTATTTTGTTAAGACAAGCAGAAAGTTCTTTGAATCATTTAAATCGGACGCTTAGTTCTCTCAAAAACTGACATTTTTCACATATTTAGCTCCGTATCTTCAAAATGGCTGGGCCTGCCTTTGCCAAAAACTAATAAACACTTCTCCCAATCATTACTAATTGAATGTTTTTTAGATCATTCAAATCGGATACTCCGTTCTCTCAAAAATACGATTTCTATTTTCTGCACTCTTTGCTCCGTATCTCCGAAACGGCTGGACCTGCCTTTGCCAAAAACTAATCAGCTCTTTTCCCTATCAATAGGAATCGGATGTTTTTTGAACCATTCAAATCGGTTGATCCGTGCGCCCGAAAACGTGACTGGAAATTTGTATCCATACATACACACACACACACACACACATCCATTTTTTCTGAAGTACGCCAAAACGTTCAGAAACCTTCAAAACGTCGAGAAATGTAAAAATTTTCAATTCCGATTTTCGGCCCATTACAATAACTTACCCTACGGGAAGTTAAAAAATACATTAAAATCTTTCATTTTTTACATGTAAAAAAATTATTGAAAGGCCGTTTTTTGCCCGAGAAAACCCATGTGACCTCTTAAAAAACGGTTCAATTAAAACCATTTAAGAGTGCAAGCCGCATTTAATTAGTCGCCATACCTAATTAATGAGTATTATGAATGATTACTAGATACTAACTTCATCTGTTGTCTCTTGAGTTCCATGCGTTCGAACTCGAGTCGCTCCCGCTCCAACTTCTGGCGCGTTCGTTCCAGTTTCAGTATTTCAACTCTCTCGCGTTCAATCTTCTCGCGTTCGCGTTGCAACTTCTCGCGCTCCTTTGCCAAACGGGCAGCTTCTTCCCTCTGCCAACGCTCAACTTCACGATTCCGTTGTTGTTCTTCTCTCCGTTTGCGTTCCTCTTCACGAAGGGCGCGCTCTCGGTCCCGAATTCTTTGCTTTTCACGCTCAGCCTAATAATAAGTAAAAAAAATGAAAAATATGATAAAGAATTTTATTAATTAAATTAACCGTCCGGTCAATAACCGGGTACCCGGGTATCCATTTCATGTTGCAGGTAAAATATATTAACTACTACTTAAAAAATTTGTATGGCCATCCGGATCCCCAAAGTTAAAGTAAATTTAACACTCATTTTTCGTAAAAAAAAATTCAATTCAATTATTTAATAAAAGTTATTAACAATCCAATTTGATATCCCCTCCGTTCAATAACCGGGTACCCGGGTACCCACTACGATTAATACCTGTTAATAACATGTTTATACACCCTGGAAAGACTGTTTATTATAGTATTTAGATAATTTGATTTTTAACAATATAGTTTGTGATTTTTTTCTATTTAAACAATAATTATAAACAATTGCAATTATAATAAACTAGAGAAACGTAGCATATCGTAGTTGTAATGCAATGTTTATCACAAATAGGATTCTTACATACCGAACGGCGGATTTGCGCCGTTTTTTTAATTCACTTTGAAGGCATTTGTAGCATACACCAGTAATTTTTTTTCTCCCAGTTGAATCGCGTTGTGTCTGAGGTGTCAAGAATACCAATGATGATGGCTGCACATTTGGATTGGCAGCTTGCCAAAAACAGATTCAATTGCTACTTTCGTTGAGAAATGCCTCATAGTTTCTGCATTATGCGAACGACTTTCAACGAATGGAGTACAGATTGTCTGCCCAATTGCCTATAAAATAATCATCCTTCATACGATTTTTAATAAGCATTTTGTTATTCTCATAATACAAAATATATGTTGCAAGGCTGGCAATGTCGAGAATATTGTAGAAAAACGCAAAGGCCACCTTTTGGTAGACCTTTTTGTGGTCTACCAAGCATTTTATCCATCGTGTCTACTCCAGCCATAGACCAGTTATAAATCATTAATTTTTGCTTCATAATGCATTGGTGATAGCAAAAGTATTACTTTGTTTTTTTTGGCACATAGCTACATAGCGCAACTTTATCGTGAAAACACCGCAGATAATTCTTCTCGCGTTTTTGATACAGCCATTTCTGGTGAAATGTAAGCTTTATTTTTCTTCAAAGTGCCAACAATTGTCAAGTCCCAAGATAGTAACAATTTTGCCAGTGAAAGACTAGTGTAGTAATTATCCATTGTGATGTTTCTATCGGATCCTTTATAAGGCACCACTAAGTCCTTGACGACTCTTTCATCTTTTGATTTTCCAGTGTAAAGCTGTCCAGTAAGTGGATACGAATTTTCAGCATCACATATCCACCATACTTTAATTCCGTATTTAGCTGGTTTTGACGGAAAATACTGAGTAAATCTAGTTGGATCTCTGTATGGATATCCTTGCTCGTCGATTGTCAGGTTTTTAGAAATATCGTTTGACCAGGTGTTCTGCTATTATTATTTCTATGAGGACTATAAACTGTATCACTATAGCCATTTTATATGCAACATAGCAAGCTTACACATAAAAAAAATGTAATTCAGTGTACTAATGACTTATAATTCTACCACACTATACGTGGGTACCCGGTTATAGAACGAATGGTGAAAGTTTGGTTATTGACCGGACGGTTAAATTAGTGGCAATTTTAAAGAAGCAAACAAAAATTTTCGATAATGATTTATGAAGCCAGAAATAAACAAAAAATCAAAATTATTAGATATTAAATACTCACTCTAATTTGCTGAAAGGATAAAACTTGCATCTTGCGTTCCCTTGAAGTATCTGATTTTAATTTTCTACTTCTTGGAGAGCGATCGCGATCCCTTGACTTTGAACTAACTTTAGAACGAGATTTTCTTGATGAACTTCTGTCCTTGTCTTTGCATCTGTTTTGGACTCACTTTTTGCCTTCTTATTTTTATCTCCTTCAGTAGTCTTTTCAGATTGATCTTTTGCTCCCTCAGCAGATTGCACCGTTCCATTTGTTGCAGAAGAAGTATCACCAGATTTATTTTCTGTTTTCACTGACTTTTCAGCACTGTCATTTTTAGAACTATGTTCAACATCAGCTTTTCCAGACTCTTTTTTAGCAGGAACGGCATTGTCGGACTTTGCCCTCTCTACTGAAACCATTCTCCCATGCAACTCCGTTCGATGAAGATGATGAATACATCTAGTAGCATCTTCATTAGTAGCCATTGTCACATAACCATAGCAACGAGCACCAGGTGTTCTTGCATTAGTCACAACTTTGGCTCCAATCACTTTTCCATATTTGGAGAATACTTGTTTCAGATCAGTGGCACGAGTGCTGCTTGCAAGACCACTCACCCACAAATTCCGGCTGGTACTACTATTGCTCGACTTTTTCTGAGAATCTGGAATCAAATATGTATAGTGTAAACTTGATGTATTTGAATAAGATAATTTATATAAGCTATTCAATACCTTTATCGTCTTTTCCCGTAGATTTAGAAGGTGTTGAGCTACAAAATATAATTATTGTTAAATTCCGATATGTAAATTACAATATTCTCATGATAATTGATATAATTAAGATTCATATTGTTTTAGAAATGATGTAAAATATAATGAACGTCCAAGAATATCTATATTTTTTTTTACATATATAATATGTGGTTAATGCAAAAATAATTTTCATCAGATTATCAATTATGCAAATATTGGTAGTAATGATAGAATTGGTGATAGATTTGTGAAAACAAATTGATTTTCCATATGATAAAATCAAATGATAAATGTGATAGTAAAAAGTGTTCATGAAAAATTATTTTTGCATATATCCCACACATATAAAAAAGATAGAGCTAAAATTTATAGTGCATATCTTATATAATGAAAATATAAATGTAATAACCTCCATGACAAAAAGTCTTATATATTGGTTAAATTTATTCTAACAGATTTTACTGCTTACATTAACAAATTTAAATAAAAAGTTACTGTAAAACTTGATCAGATAATACATACAATTAAACGATACCATTAGCATTTCTTTGATCATGAAAGTCACTACTACATATATTCCAAAAAAAGAATTGAAATAATTTTTAATTAGTTTTCATGTATATTTTGATATATACTGTTCAGCTAGAATATATACGCCTATACATGTGCATATATATATATATATATATATATATATATATATATCATCATACACATACATATATATACACATATATCCATGTATGCAAATTGTGCAAAAAATTAAATATTCCTAATAAATAATTAGAATTAATTTCAGACAGAATTCCACCATAAAATAGTTTCATTTACGTTGGGAATACGTTTTCGGGATGAATTGTTTTTGAAATGACACACAAATGCATTATTAATAAAGGCCAACACTGATCAAAAAAGTTTTGCACATCTGATATAGCTCCTGGTGCTAGCTGGCATATTCTTCACTCCCTTGAAGTTTGTTGTTACATCTTGAACTTTGTGTGACTGCGGTATTTTGGGTAGATCATTTATCTTGAAGTTAGAAATAACTCTTGAAGCAAAAAAGGAAGTCTTGACAGATTTTCTTGAAGCATCTTGAGTAGAACCACACCCTCAAATACAGTAGTAAGATGTTCCACAGCCTCAATCCAAAATTATAGTGCAAAACTTTAATGAAAAGTGCTAGCAAACTAGACAAAATGATTTTACATCACCGTTGGTGCCCAAAGCAATCATGAGACACTGAAACGCCTTACCGATGTCTCCGGCAAACTTGGTCAACAAAATTTTCTTCATTTTCCAGTGATTGTTAAACAAATATGATACAAACTGTCAGGATAAAACTGAATAGTGCAGGCATCAACAGAGGCATCTTATTGAACCAACCTAGAAGAAACGGCATCAAGCTGCTGGCTTTTGCTATCAGTAGTTTCATCTTCATTTTTCTTCTCTGCTGCTGATACTGTGCTACTATCCCCACACTCCTCACTGATCGACACATCACCAGTTTGCCCTTGATTATTTTCTTCCTTCAATGATGACCGAACATCTTTAGCCGACACCTGTTCTTGCATGACACTGTTTGACGAAGATTTTGACTGCTTTTTGGCATCTAGGTAACAGAAGCTCATTTCATAAAGATTCAGCCAAATCATGAAATATTCGTGTAGCAAAAAAAAACTGCAACATGTATGTGATGAACTCCAAACACAAAAATGCTTAAAATTCACATTATAAACATACAATTTATTTACTAAAATTATGCAATGCAGGTTTGCATGATGTAAGATAGCATTTACTTTAAAATATGTAAAATTGTGATTGCAAAGTTTACACAACACAAAATGTAAAACTTTTTAATTGTTAAATGCTTTTTTAAGATTAAAATGCACATGATTAGGTAAAATAATAATAGTCTGTGAATACAGTTAACTTTACAGTCTTAATAAACAGAAGTGACTTTCTTTCTTAACCATTTACCATAGTAAATAATAGTTTATAATTCTTCCACCAACTTGTTGAATGAAATAATCATATGAATCAGAATCATAATCCTTACTTTATAACTTCATTTTGAGCATCCATATTCATCATTTGTTTCACTTTGAATGATCTTCTATCCAGAATGTAAGCTTCCTCCGAAATCTTCTAATTCCAATTATTGTTTTAGTAATTATTAGCTTCAAAATCAAATAAGTTGTTGATCAAAATTGTGTGAAACATTTATAGAGATATCCTTATTCGAATATAAAAAATTCTTAATTAAAAATCTTGAAGTATCTGGATGTCACATATTTTTATATATGTAACTAATCACTATTAACTTATTCAATTTTCTTGTTTGATGCATCTTCATTGACAATTTTATTTCACCAATATTTTGCTTGATTATTTAAGTTTATTATGGTTTCATACTCATACTTGAAGTACACTCACAAATATTAATCAGTTTATATTTCCTTTTAATCTAATGTAATATTTCCATTCAAATTTCCATTGAATTATTCACTTTATAAAGACACAGATAATGTTCTTGTTGTTCATGATAATTTGACAGATTTATAAAAACGAATAAATAATTAGATAAAATTTGTTCATAAAAACTTTCATTTTTGGTTCCTCCATTTTCAAAATATATGTCTTAGGTAAAATCCAATTCAGAACAAAATTTACAGTTTCCTAAATATGTCAATATTCCCACATCAGGAGTGTGACAATAATATCAACATCATAATACATCGGTATTATATATCTATATTGGTAGTGTCGATATTCTACACATAAATCAACATAATTTTACACTTGCTATCCAATTGAAGATATTTGAGTATCTGCCGTTCTCCATTCATATAATTTAACTATTGATTCTTTAATTGAATTTGTATGCAACAGACTAAATTATAACCTAAGCATGTGCAATCTTATCACATATTTACATAATTAACTATAAATAAATAAAACATACCTGATGCCTTGCTACGAGGATGAGAATCTTCCTGCAAAAGTAAAATTCATTAATATTATGTGAAACAGGTATATTAATGGGCAAAGTAAATTCATTACTATTATGTAAAATTAACATATTACTGAAATAATGGCAATATGAGAGAAAAATTAAATATTTAACTTATTAAAGGAGTTTTTTAGTGTGGAAATTCAGAAGTTTTTACTTGTTTCAAAAATTAAGTATTTAAGAATATGTGTACCTTTTCCTCTGTACTCTTGTAATGTTAATAAATTATAAAAAAAATATAGTGAAAAATTGCTACCCTTTTTTATAATGAATTTAAAATGACCTAAAATTGATGCCTCTACACTAGAGAAAACCCTCCTTAATGAATCATGAGCACATGAGCAATTATCAATATTAAAAAAATCAAGTAATATCAAGATTAAAAAAAAAACTTACAGCTTCCTGTAATAATTTTTCTTCATCTTCCCCAATGGTTAAATTTATTGAATCGTCTTGATCACCTTGGTTGATATCAGGTTTATTTTCTGCTGTGTTACTTGCAGATTTAGCCTTAGTAACCAATGTTGGATGATTCAATTTTGAGCAAGCAGGGCCAGGGCGTATCTTAGATGCACAATCTTCAACCTAGAAAATGATATTTTATTAATTTAGCTGCAATCACAAGATATACATAATGTGTTGAGTCAAACATATATATATATATATATATATATATATATATATATATATATATATATATATATATCATTGTTTCTTTTCCCCAATAGTAAACCCAATAATAAAAAAACAATTTGTTTTTTTTGTATATATATATATATATATATATATATATATATAGATATATATATAGATGATATATAGAAGATCAAATATCTTGATAGTTTTTTATGTTAAAAAAAATTTGAAGTGTTTTTAAACAACCATTCAACAAAATGAAAAATAAGTTAAGAAAAAATAATTTTATTTTTATACGTTTTGAGACTTGATGTGTGCCATATATATATTTATAGATGGTGATTATAAATGACTTAAATTGGAACTATTAAATTTTAATAAAGTTGTATTCCATTTTAATCTATGGTGTTCCATGGTTTAATGGTAAAATGCATGGACACATGCAGAAGGGATTGTGAGTTTGAAGCCTGCAGTAGACAACCTGCCAATCGTGCAGCAGCAATGTCCATTTTTACTTGAAAATTTGAATCAATGCTTAGAATTAAAAATAGCCCACTTTGGGCACTCAGGTGTGTATTGGTAAAGAAAAACTTTTCACACTATTTTTTCCTGAATCAATTTGAAGATAAGGGATCGTTCAAGTATTACGTAAGCAGATTTACTACAATTATTTACCCCCCCCCCTTTGTCATCAAAAGTAAGCAAATTTCTTACCAAAAATAGGCAAAATAAGCAAATCAATAACCCCCCCGCCCCCCTATAGTGCTTACGTAATACTTGAACGGCCCCTAAACCCTTTCAACTCGGATGCCAATCTCGGAATTTGTGAGTGTATATATATATATATATATATATATATATATATATATATGTATATATATATATATATATATATATTAGGTGGTCCTTAGAAAGGTCATTTTCGAATTTCCTTGCTCCCAGGGGCTCAAATGGTTCCAAATAGATAAAAAACAATTCTCTGAAAGTTTTAGCTCTTAATATTAACGTTTAGATAGAGCGCAATTCAATCAAAGTTTTGTATGGAAATAGCACGGAAAAATTTTCAAAAATTTCAAAAGTGTTTTTTAGATGTAATTTAGCAAACTCACTTTTATGAATAAATAAAACTCATTCATTTGTTGCTAAGTTATACCTAAAACATTTTTTTTAATCTTTCAAAATGTTTTCTATGCTCTTTTCATACAAACTTTGATTGAATTGCGCTCTATCTAAACGTTAATATTAAGAGCTAAAACTTTCAGAGAATTGTTTTTCATCTATTTGGAACCATTTGAGCCCCTGGGAGCAAGGAAATTCAAAAATGACCATTTTAAGGACCACCCTAATATATATATAGGTGAGAAAGTAATTGAAATCTAATTATAGTGAAGTTCTAATTACTCAATTAGCTGAAGCATAAATAAAACCACACCTTTACTTCTAATTTTTTTAGTTCATAGTGATTGTCAGCCATTTTTTCAAATTTTTCTTCATCTTCTTCCTCTTCCTCTTCCTTAACATCTACCTGCTCCATATTTTCTTCTTTTTCAGTGTTCTCATTGGCGTCATTTTCGTCAATAGAAGCATCTAATTCATCCTTTACTACCATATCATTTGGATCAACTTCATCTGGATTAATTTCTGCATGTTCATTTTCTTCTACACACACCACATCGGTATTCAAATTTTCAGATTTGTCCATTGCTGCGTTTTCAATCTGTACACTATCAGATGTTACTTTATATTCAGAATTCGCACTTTCGTCAGACAAGGCCTATAAATATATTCCATTAGAATGTCAGCATATTCCAAATAAATTTAAAATAGCTTTTCAAATATAAAGTAAAAAGTGACTGAAAACTTTAAAACCAATATAGTACATAAAGAAAAGCAACCCGAAAAGGCTAACATGAAATCAATTACGGTAACTATAACTACGATGTCAATACGGATGTTAATGATTTTCTATTTGTAATGAGTAATTAACTAATTCAATAAAGAACACATTTATAAATCATTTTCAATACGTACTTGCTGCAATCTCTTAACAAGCACCGATTTCACTCCAGTTTTATCTAAACCACGTTTCTCTAATTCTTCACGAAGATCTGATACACGTAAATCATTCAAGTTACGACTAGTGTTATCTGACGCCATTTTATTTTATAAAGTTTTTACCTTGAATATCACTTTCATTGGAAAATATTTTTTGTCATACTAATGTGTTGAAACGTATGTATTGTTCTCCACAATAAAAAATAATCCAATGAACGATTTAGTAAATCTATGAATTCTTTTGTTTCAACGCAAAACGTTTTTAAAGTCGAGTTAAATCAAAACCAAAAGCCAAAAGCTTTCAAAGGGCGTATTTACTTCGAACTGACTTCGAACAAAACAGCGACCGGTTAAGTATTTCGTGTGTCACACACGCAGCGCTAGTGTGCCGATGTAAAATCCTAAAATCCATTGCCTTATCTATGGATCGATAGTTACGATATGATTACGATATCGATAAGTTTATGAACAACAAAAAAACTTCTTTTATCGAGCTCGATTGGCTCGATTTGGCTCGATTCCTGTATGCAGAAATCGATATTATGTGCAAAGTTTTTAATCTGTCAAATAAGGATAGGATATGGGACTTCTTAGTTTAAACATTATTTGATAAAATATGACAAATTGATAGATATAATTTGTTAAAATGAATAAATAAATGGAGTGGAAAGTTTGTATCAAGCATGTTATTGTAAGTCAATCAATTTTGTGAAAATGGTAAGTGTTTTAATTATAAAAAATTGCACAATACATTTAATTAGTATTAATTATAAAAGAGCAATAAATGATTATTTTTATTGCAGCTCACTTTAAATTCAATTTGTAAGCTGATGGTGAATGGTTCTAATACAAAATGTAGTTAAGTCAACATAAATTATATGGTGGTGGGATTTTATTTCTTGTAGAGATCACTTTGCATTCGCATGATCTAATATGTTAGAACAGCTTAAATATATGATCAACATTCTAGTCTTTTATGCCAAATTTATACATTGAATAACTCTTGCTAAATTTTTGCATTTACTATTTGAATAAGTTTAACAATGACTAAAGCCAAAGAAAAGTCTCGACCATATGAGTGTGGTGATTGTGTGGTAAACGATTTTTAGGAAAAAATGATTTGCGCAAACATAGTAGAACTCATTCAGGTGAACGACCCTTTGCTTGCAATGATTGTGGTCGCAGGTTTAGACAGGCAGTAGCTTTAAGAAATCATATAACTTGCCATCATTCTAGTAGTTTGGACGAGAAAACTGAACTATTTATTTGTGAATATTGTAAAAAGATTTTTCCTTTAAAAGAAAGACTTCGTTTACATCTCCGAGTCCATACTGGTCACAAACCTTATCAGTGTCCTAATTGCCCTATGCGTTTTGCTCGTGGTGGTCAACTCAAACAGCATTCTTATACTCACTCAGGTCTGAGGCCTTATAAATGTAAACATTGTGCTGCTACATTTACTACTTCGGGTAATTTAAAGCTCCATGTTAACAGACATTTAGAAGTTCGAGATTATACTTGCCATCAGTGCGGGAAAAGCTTTATAAGGCCAGATGCGCTGAGAAAGCATTTGACTTGTTTTCATGAAAATGTTAAGACATTTCATTGTGATATTTGTAATAAAGAATTCAAAGGGCATCTCCCACAGCATTTACGTACACACTTTCAAGAGAAACCACATGGCTGTTCTGCTTGTGGAGCTACATTTGCTCAAAGATCTCATCTCATAGTTCATCAAAGAACTCACTCTGGAGAGAAGCCCTATCGATGTCAGGTTTGTTGGAAAGCATTTGCACATTCAACAGCTTTGCGTTTGCATATTCGCAGACACACTGGTGAAAACCTTACAGGTGCAAATTGTGTAAAGAGAATACTGTAGCATTTTCACAATTGCCCCATTTGAAAAAGCACATGCTTTGTATTCA